TATATATATTAACGTAACAAATCGATCTTATTCTTATATGTTGAATACAATTCCATACATGTTGAAACTTTTTCTTTAGAAATATGTTGCTTTCAACTCCAGGATTATTTAACGTTATATACTTAAAAGAAATATTGCAACAGTGATTTATAGGTTAGAAACAATGAGGTTATAAATGTTATTCCCGCCTCAACAGTGTGATTACCTGCAATTGGAAGTTTATCGCCGTCTCGTCAGACAGATCTTTATTAGTTATAAAAGCAGTCCGGATTCTATATCGAAAGTACTTCTTGTTCGTAAATTTTAAAGTTTCGCCATACCTCAGAATGTCTTTGTATAATTTCAAAACAACTTGTCGGCTCATTATGACTTATCAGAATTAATGGAACGTATATACGATGTATGATACAAAATGTATAACTGTATTTTGATATAGCATGACACTAAAAATTATGTATACCGTTCTTCAGAAATTCGCGAAAATTGTACGTATATACGTATTAAAGAGGATCCTCTCCTCTTTGGAATGTTCTACGGTTCTACTAATATATGTGAGACATGCGCGATGATGGCCAGCCGAGCCGGCGTTTCTTTTTGTAATGGATCAGCTGACGGAAACATTACGCACTTGTTACGTATGTATACAGACGTGCAAGCTCAATTAGCTTTATTTTACCAACAGATTGATTAATAACATTAAGATTGCTTCTTTTCTGGAAAAAGGATCATTGTTTCGCATAATTATTTTATATTCGATTTATTATATAATCATAGATTAATTTTAAGAAATAATCTTAAATAAAAACTGAATCTGTTAAAAACAGATTTTGCGAACGTAATTACAAATTTTGTCAGCAAAATGACAGTAGGATATATTCCATTCTCAAATATGAAATAACAGATTTTATATCTAATTTGTTAGTTTCTACTGTCAATCTTCTGTCAGATTATGTTGATAAATTCTGGTAAAATATGTTTAATGCAGGCACAATTGATGTCTACCACAAATATTCTTCTAATTTGCTGACGGCAAATCGAACAGATATATTTTTTGTACTAGTATAGTGATATAGCATTTAAATACGTATTCATATTTAAATGCATCTCAAAAAAATATCTGCTATCATTCAATAAAAAAAAACGGGGGAGATAATTTATAAAAATTATAATATTATATTTTTCCAAAATTAGCAATTTATAATATAAAATTTCTCAAATTTAAAGTAAAGTTTCTTATATCATTTCTTTTTATGCGTTTCTCCAATTTGACAGAGAAGTAACGTCAATTAACGTTAGAATTCTTGAAATTCTAACTCGAAAAGCTTCTGTATGACGTCATCTATTTGCAGCTCCTTTGCTATTTCTACTATCAACTCATCTACGAGCTTATCAGATATCCTGCAATAATATTCGTTGTAAACATAATTAGAGAATAAAGTTTTCAAAGTAGCAGTGTTGTATTTACCAAGCGACAATGTCCCATGGTTTATTTTGTGTATTGCTAGAATACATTGGAATCGATTGCATCAATCGCTGATATTCGCATCTATATTTCAAAAAATTCATCTCAGTTTCCTCGGAAACAACAAGTTCGATATTATTCAGCGAATCTATCATAAATTTTCCTTTCTTTACCTATTATATAATATTAATCATCAATTTTACATTTGATTCTCAAGATATGTTTTAACTATTTTTCATTGTTTACAATTTACCTTTGTTTCAAAATCCGGCAATTCCATTAAGTTCTCATAATCCGCTTGGCATGATGCATCGCAATAGCGAGGTACTTTTGATGCATCTTCTATCGATGACATACAAATCAATTGCATATTTTCGCTATTTTTCCGCCTTTCAGTTAAAGTTCTTTAAAAACAAAATATTAATTAGAATCTAATTTCTTTAGCTATCAAACGTAAAAAATGAGGAAAAGTATATTTATAAAATACGTGTATATTCATACCTGTTTGTTTTAGCATATTCACATTCACTGCTGTCTGAATAACATACGTCACAGCTTGTGCTCGCATTGATTTTTGCATTCATGCTTTTAGGCATTTGATATTTTTGTAGAAATTTCATTAGTGTCTTCGTCATAGTTTTAGAATAAGCTGCTTCTGATTCATTTTGCTATGTATAAATTTTTAATGTTTACAATAGATTGTAATTACCAAGATAATTAAATAATCTTATTGTTTTTTAATATCTTAGAAAAGATAATTTATGTAACATTACTGCAATTCACCTTATTAGAAACAAAAGACATGAAGTCTGCTATAACTGGCACCAAGTTAGATAAATGTTCCTTTGTAATCATCGGCTCTCTTTTCATGGATTCATCATCGTTATTTGTGGACGTACTCTTGACAATATTTTCTATCGTTTCTAATTGTTTTTGATTCTGCGATTTGCTAGAATATTTTCTCGGCGCTTTACATATTCTTCTTGTAAGCATCGTATTATTATGCCTTTCCTGCATTTCAAAGTTACTGCCCTGCAAAATAGATAATAATAATTATCTTGAAACAACATATTTGAACATTAATGTTACAATAAATCTGTCTCGTATTTGTTGTGCGTGTAAATAGTAAACATCTGTTTACATCTGAATTTATGGGTAATATATCCATCATAGTTTTTATATCCTCTTCTTTTGCAAATGTTCTATGTTTTCTAATATCTATTTGATTTGCGTCTTTAGTAGATGTTACAGGACTAGAATATGCCTGATCCAATATTGGCTCGTTAGAGATTTTTTTAACATTTATTGTATTATATTTCTTATTTTTTTGATGATAATCTAAAATGCATATAGCTTACAAGTTAAAATAACATACGCAAATATACATTTAACTTATTAATATATAAAATAATTTTACATACTTGTTTTGGGTTTATAAATATTTTTGGAATTCGCACTGTACATACTCAACCGATTAGATAATTGTTTGCGATTGAGTCGTTTTTTATTCGTTGAATGTGGAGTGATGGACGCTATTGATGAAGTTTTATTAGTATCTAAAAAATCATTATCCGCATACAGCTTGAATTTTGACAAAACGGCATTGCATTTGCTTTCAATTTCCTTCCCCTGCAATTAAAAAGAAAACTTCTATGCAAATTTGAATATAATGCCTTTTGTGTTGTTGTAAAATGCAAAAGATGCAATATTGCAATTAATGATCAGTTATCAAAAAAATTTATATTAATAAATAACATTACCAACGACAAAATATCAGTGTCCCCCGAATCGAAATAGTTTAAGTGGAGTCTATCACACATAGTTTTCAGATCGAGAACCACTTGTAGTATCTCTCTAAGCTTTCCAGGATATCCTTTGGGAATAGAACTGGGAACGTGTTTACAATAGGCGACCAATGCATGCAGCAATAATTGATGAGCAGCAAGAAGTTTATGTTCAATGGCGTGCATGTGAAGTCCCAGATTTCTGTGATTCGGCCTTATTATCGCGCGTGGTGAAATAACATACATATGCCTTTGGATATCTTTGACGTATCTATTAAGATCGTATAGATAGTTTCTCGAGAATCGAACAATAAATTCAGCGACGCACTGCTGCCGCCTCTGTAGATCCTTAATTCCATCCGGCGCAGAAATATTTCCCAGTCTGAACGCTATTTCATCCAATAACTCACAGACTTTCCTTTGCATCGTCAAAATTTTGTGCATAATAAATGGATCTGGTCGTACATAAACGACTCCATTTGCAATGCCGTTGTGGCATGTGCTACTTTCAGGACTGGAATTGTATTCCGTGCCATTAGTCGCATGATGCAGCTGCCTCGAAGATTGCTTCTTTCGCGGTATTACATGACCAGAGCGAGATTTTCTAATGTACGACTTGAAATTCTCAGACTGATGTTTCCTTTCATAAGCTGGAGCATTATCCTCTTCAGGAATTGTAAGTAACAAATTGGTGCTACCTGTCCCTGTGTCTTTCATAATGGGCGCTTTCTTCGAAGTCAAGTCCCTGATATTATTTACCTATTATTATGTGAACTTTAGCAATCGAATCAATCAATCTTCTCGTGGTATTATTTTCATAGAAAATTCGCTTACCTTTGGCTTTCTTTTCTGATCGTTTCCAGTTTTATCATATTCTTTCCTTACTTCATCAGGCAAAATATTTGTCTCTAATTTCTTAAGTTCTTTATCCGCCTCCCTCATACCTTCGTCCAACAGTTGTTTGATGCTCTGAACGGATGAGTGGATGCCATTTTTGTTGTAACCATTCAGCTCTTGTTGTTTGACAAACGATGTCCATACGTTTTCCTCTTGCTCCCGACATCTCTGTCTGCGTACGTCTTTTATTATGTACTTGAAATGATTTGTAGGCACGTACTTTAACAGAGAAGAACAGATTTTTTATTTCGTTTATCAGTGATAAAATTAAAATTCATGAAATGACTCTCAGTCAAATTTGTTGAAATTATTACAAATTTTCTTGGTAAAATATCAATAGAAAAATAATAGAATATGATGGCAGATTAATTGTAAAAATTAAACAGAATCAACTATCATAATCGTTCTATAATAATTTATAATATATATATATATTATTATGAAGTGATAGATTTTCTATTTGGTTTTTGTTAGCAATCTATTGTCAGATTACATCAGTACATTTTATAGTAGAACTTGAATTTAATAGGGATGATATCAATCTATCATGATTTCGAATTTATAAACAAACTGTTAATGTACACTCTAAAAAATATGGATTTAACACCCTGTAATGTTTATATACATAATTCTCACCTATTGATATTAATATAAACATCCAACTTTTAAAATGTCCCAGTAAACATCAACTAATATAATATCAATGTTATAATTTCAATGTTATAATTTCAACAATATAAATAAAATATAATATATATAACAGTTACATTGTCCAATGTAAAATTAATAATGTGATGTTATATACTAGAAGTTGATGTTAAATTAATTGTGAGTAATAAATCTACAGTCATTCGCACTACACTAGATTAGTACATTAGTACATTAGTACATTAAACAGCTGCTTTATATAAAATGAAATGCAATGGTATAATATATAGTTAACTTTGACCATGAGATAATACTGATATATTAAACAATGTGACACTGTTATTATTATAGGATATTGTTTAAAATATTTATATGCTTCTACATTTCACTTTACTAATTTCATGTATAACTTTTAATATGCACTAATCTAATGTATAATGCAAGTGACTGAATTCATTATGAAATAAATAACAATTATACATAAATAATAACTATAATATTGGTGTCTTGTTACTGTTGATGTTTATTGGAATGGTTTACCGCTATTTTGCTTACTGGGGAGGGGGAGGGGAGGGGGAATATAAATGCGAAACGGGAGTTAAATGTTATCCCGAGATTCGGCAGAATCTACCTTAAAGTTATAATCATCGTTCTCATTTCCAGAAAAGTACGAATCCTCCGTCTCGTCGTCGTTCAGATGAACGGATTCCACGGGATTCAAAAGGAGTGACATCCTATCCCTTGGTTATGTCCGGTACTCCGAGGGGTCCGCGTTTATTCGCGTCCCCTCGGACGTGCCATAAACGATGGGTATAAAAGGAGGGAAGTACGATTTAAAAAAACGGAACGCCGTGGTACGACTCCTTGCATGGGAACGCGGAGGATCTGGGAATGCGAGTTCCTCGTCCGGTTTGTACAGGCTGAAATTGGCGCGACACGAATAAATCGATGTCTCTCCTTTGTCGGATTCTCAGAGTCGGTTCAAGGTCATCGTTTCAACGATACTCAATCGATATCCCTCTCGCGATGAAACGCAAACGGAAATCCGAAACCAACGAAGAGAATACCGAATCGTTATATATGTATATCGATCGCACTTCGACGTCGGTATATAAAGTATATTTTTCGTTACAATAATTCAAAGACGCTCGATCGAAACTTTTCTCTCAATAATCTCTCGAGGGGGAAAAAAATGGCGATTTGAATTTCGAACGAGTTTCAAACCGAAATTTCGTGGCGAATCCCAATTAAGGATGTTCAGAACCTATGTTCGGAAATCGACTTTATCCGAGTGCAAGTATCATTTAGTCCTTGTTATTCACTGTTAAACAAGAACAAAATGCTACCTGATGGGCGCTCTCGGATGAAACTTCTAAACGCAGCCAAGTTGAACGAGAATCGAAGCGCGCTGGTAAAAAAATTAATATTCCTCGTGGGACGACGGAGGCTTGTGGATTTTTGCCGTCGCGCGTAGAAAAGCGTGTTGGCTACGTGAGATACGATCGGGAAAGGCGTGGGCGCGGCCACGCGCCGCGGATCAATACTCGTATGGTTCGGCGGCGCGGGTTACACCCCGTGATGAACACGCCAGTAGTGCTCAACGCTCGGCCTGCACTCGAACTTCGACGAAGATTCCATTTAGCGCTTGCAACGTATTATTTGTCCTTGTTTAACAATCGATAAGCAACAAGGATGAAATTATTCCGATAAGCGTTACGAGCGTTCAAATGGAACGCTCTCAGAAAATGGACTTTTCATCCGTTTCACTCATATCGGACGGATGCGCCGCTGATGCGAACGTCTCGCGGATAATTACGCGACCTGGTTTAAATTTAGGCGAGTCCGTCTCATCGCGACGAGAAACGGCCGGCCTTCATGGAACGAAACGAAGAAGCAACGCGGCGCGAGAGAGCGGCTGAGCACCCCTGCGATAAGCCGACTACTCGTCGACTGTGAAAAGCGCGCGGGATTCGAATGGCGAAACGTGAAATTGATTCGCGATTTCTTCACGACGGCGCGAAAACGCGAGCGAAAGATAAAATTGTATATCGGCCAGTCAAGCTCTCGAGTTCTTCTCCGATCGCATCTGTCGTGTTTACGAGGAAAACGATCGTTACAACGAAATCGCGTCGAGGACCATTCGAGTCTCGCGCTCCGGATCACGTCACGTTTGAACGTTCCTGGCCAATCGACGACGACATGGTTACGCGACGCTGCGCGCGCAGGACGTTCTCATTCAATCGGTTCAACCCTCGGATCTCGCTGTACTCCGTAATTTATCCGCTTTTCGTCCTGCGAATGCTTCCCGCAAGCTCGAGACGCTCGAGTTCGAGTATATTCGGTAAGGTGACCCGATCGACACGAGATTAATTTTCTCGGATACGCATTTAACAATGGTCTTTACGCGGTGTGTCGGTATTCTTACTAATTGTCTCGTAATCGAATTGTTTCTCGGTATTATTTAAGTATAGACTCCCACTTGGCATGGCGTTGTATAAGTTGTAGGCTCCGAGGGAAGTGTTTTTAAATCCTACGATTATATCCATGCCTTCTTTTTGGCAGTCGCGTTAAAAAGAAAGTACGTTTTTGTGTCGATTTTGCGATGTGTTCGATCTAAAAATAGATAGTTATACAGTAACGCTCGATTAATAGCTATTACGTTTCTTCATCTCCTTCCTCCACTTGTACAAGTGCAAAACAAATGATGAAATGGCTCCTTAGATTTATGTTTTCGAGAAACAGCACAAATGTCTCTGCAGTGTGGTCGCAAATGTGAACTGGATTTTTCGTGATTTTAGCGATATTTAGATTTTTATATTTGTTGCGAGTGGATATAATTGTGAAATTATGTATTTTCCTTCAGATTGCCTATGCTAGAACACTTAAAGAAGCTTTATTTGCGTTAGCAAGTTTAAGCCGCAAGATAGTATTGATGTGTGGTTTCTTGGATCGTTGGAAGAAACAATAAGTACCATAAAAATAGACAAGGGCGAAGCAATTAGGGTGTTGACAATTAATTTCTAATTGATATTGACCGACAACTTCGAGATGACATCCAAAGTGCTAATGAAACTACCAACAGTGCCCTTCCCTCAAGTGAGTCATTTTTCCAGCAAATGAGAATGGATTAAAATGGATTGAAATTTTTTTCTATCCGAATGCGTATTTTAGCGAATACTTTTTTTGGATTTAATTGGATGCAATTGGATTGAAAAATTGCATTTCCTATTCAAAATTTTGAATTGAACAGTATTCACAATGCACAGAAAAAGCTAATATTATTTTTAGATTGAAAGGCATAGAGATATGCTATATGCAATTCCTATAAATGAATAAAAATGCATTCAGGATTGAAAAGCATTTATTTTAACATTTGTGAATCAATATTTCTGAAAATCTGAATCCATTTCAATTCATTTCAATCCATTCTTGTTTGCTGGGTTATATTCTCATTAAATGTGATAGCACGATGTGTTAAATATTGTTCTTTAATTTAATCAAAATATATCCATGTCTTAGTTATGTGCTTTAATTATCAGTTGGCACTGTAAAGCATAAATTTTTGTACATATTGTAAAATTCATCGATGAGACTATATTTTTGTTTGATCATTTATTTAAATAGAAGAAAAAAAGGTTCCAAATTTGAACTGTAAGCCTTGTACAATTGTTTCTATAGGGAAAGAAAGCACCACCTGACCTAGTTTCTTTGACTGAGAGAAACGATGGATTCGCACATGTTAGGCATCAAGGTCTAAATGTAGATAGAGTCATGCAATTGGAACAGAACATGAAATTTTTACAGGAACAACATCAGGCAACTTTGGTTGCCTTACATCAAGAAATAGAATGTTTACGTCAAAGAAACAGAGGTAACAAAAATATTAACTTTCCTTGAGTATCTCTTTTAATCCGTTTTATAAACCTCTGCAGATCTGCAATTTCAATTAGTATTTTCCAAAAGAACACCCTATGGTGCGGCTAGCAGTCCTTCTTCACCCGAAGATAATGGAAATGGGTTTGCGAAATCAAAGGTACTTACGACGTATTATTATGAGCATTTATAATATTTATGTCTTTGATATAACTTTTCACTCAAAAAATGTATTTTAAGCATCAATATAAAGATTTCAATTTTGATTTGTATTTACAGGGTAGCCCAATATGTGTCAATGTAACACCTCTACAAGTGGAACTTTTGGAGAAAGACTTACAAGACATTAAGGTGTCATTGCAAGAGGCAAAAACACATAACCAGTACTTGTCGAATATTATAGAACAGCAAAAAAAGTTAGTTTTATACGAAAATATATTACATAGATGCCGTGATAGTAAGCTAACGTTTCTTTCCTTTATTTTGTAGAAGATTGGATGTAACAGAAGACCAGAAGAACAAGATTGAAGTAGCGGACATTGGAATTCAAGTCGGAGATCCCGTACAAGCGAGCTTAGTTGTACTTTTGGAGGAATCATACGCGATGGTGAAACGATTACACAAGGAAAATATGGATCAAAAAAAGGAAATAGCTTCGCTACGTGCAGCTTCTTCAGCAAACAACGCTAGTACAAGCAGAGGTGGGCGCTCCCGTGACGGTAATAGCCATTACAATCGTGGTTCGCCCACGAGTACGACACAGGAACAGAACTCTCGTAAATTTCCACCGTTACCAATACCAAGCTATTGGCATCGTAGATCACCTAGGTACAGCTTACAGAATTTTATTCTATAACTTTTTAAAATCTATTATGAAAGTCAAGATTTTTGAAAAGTCTAAGGAGTTATTACGAGATATCGAAGGATAGGATATATAAAAATTGTGTGAATTATTACAGATACAGTACGAATCGGCACGAGAAGCAAGATCATCATGTAGATACAGACTCGACCGTTTTACCGCAACTCCAGAATGGCAGCGTGAAATCAGCGGAAGCGGCTAGTTTCGAATCACCGTCTTATCGATCACGCGAGTATCGCAATTACGGTCGCGACGGCAGTAATCGCAAGTACAGAGGTCAAGCATCGCGAAGAGACAGCAATCATTATTATCATTCTCGCGATTTCAAAGACAGAAATTCCAAGGATCATCCGAGAGACACGAACGACACTGGGGAGGGATCGAAAGACGCGGATCATTCTCGGAGACAGTAGATCGCAAAATACATGTTACCGATACATAAAAATTGATGAACTTTAGTACTTTGAAACGCATTAAGAATTTCGATACTATATACCAGTTATAAGACTTATTGCTAACGAGTGATCAATGTTTTCTTCACTGGTGCTGATCGATTACGACAGTCTCGTGCATATATAGCATGTAATAGGATAGCGACGACGAATAAACTGTACGATTTTCGATAGAATACTGTCTGTATATGCTAATTTTACTCTTTATAGGCTGCCATAAAGGAATATAGAAACTCGTGCTTTGTAGATTGACCGATAATCAGCAGAGTGTTTAGCGAAAGACTTTGCTCTAGATGAGATTTTTTCTTCCTACGGAAAAAAAAACGAAAAAAGGTACGACCAAAAGATGCTCAGTGTAAGGCTAACTTTTTGGCTAAAGTTCGTACTTTACAGATTTGAACTTAATATGCGTGCAATAATCCGATATGCTATCGATGCATGTATGTACGTGTATGTATTAAACTTTTAACTTTTTTCAGTACTGAAGCATTAAAGAATCGAATCTAGTCATTTTCACATATTCTATTGAAATGACAAATCGTTGAACGATTTATACATATAGATATTATATACATATAGATATACAATACATATACAAATATATATACATATACATATGCATGTGTATGTATATATATATATATACTTATTTTTTTTATTTTTATGTATCTATATTTAATATATATTATTATGCATTTTGTTACGTATAATGCATCCTAGTTTATCAAAAACGAATTATTTGATTTTATTCGATCTTGTGATTACAACTTTATTATTATCTTATAAAAATATACGTGGAATATACTATTGCATTTAGTTAATTTTATTCTTTTCGTAGTTTTTTTATTGATTTTTTCGACTATTTGCAGCTGCAAATTAAAGATTAAGGACTAGTCTACATTATGTCAAGAATTTTCATAATTTCTACTTGTAATCGATTCCTGATTTTTAAAAATAGCAGAAAATGTATGTAGTATTATTAAATTTATTAATTTTGGAAAGATTTGCAAATACCCTGCAAAATAATATGGAAAAAATTTGTCAAATTAATCGGATTATGATACAGGAATATACTTTATAATTATGTAAAATCTTGTACGCTTATGAATGGATGAATTATCAAAATAATATAATATGAACAACTATGTGTAATTTATTTTTTAAAAACCAGTCTTCCATAATTAGATTCTATGTTTCATATATCAAATAATTCTTGTTTATTGTCATTCTTTTCATTCATTGTAATTATTATTTCTAAATATTTTATTTAATTCTGCACTGAAATGTCAATATTTTAAATATATTATAGTAAAGAATTATTTTATTTATAGATATATTATTAATTTTTATCTTTTTATCTTGTACATGTGTAGAAAGTAGAAAGATGTGTTTTTCTCTTTTCAGAAAAAGTTTATTATAAAATATACCTTAGTTAAGTACATATTCAACACTACATACGTAAACAATCTCTGTAACAACTACTGACGCGGCCGAGAATCGTTAATATAAACTTGTGAACAACTCTACATAAGAGTACCCTGCAAATAGAGAAAGGCTCATCAGGGCGGCCCGCACACATGGGAGTTTTAGTAAAAATTACGTTCTAATTAAAATTACAAAAAGCGATGTTACCCGCGTATAAAGGAACAACGCTGGACGTCGCACTTGAGCGCTGCAGTATTTATATTTCAGTATTTATACAGCATACAGAAATTTCAAGACGGAGCACATTCAATGCCATAATGCTGAAGATGATAAGAGTTATGTTTGCCCATTACAGTATTTAATGTGCCACCGTCGCATTCCCATAAGTCTTAAAATTTACATCACAACCACGAACATAAAATAACTACAGGAGTGAAACAGAAAGGCGACGCGATTGAACTAAAACGCATATTGATCAGTCCTTTAACAAATTACAGATAGTTTCGTCGATAAAAAGAGTAAATGTAATGACTGTATATATATATATATATATATA